TCCGTGGAAAAGTTTTGATCATTCCGTTTAAACGGTTTGCTCTGTCCGTCAAAACGGTTTTATTAAACAGATTGAAGGATAAATCAAACGGTAAATCATGCCGATCAAACCACAGAAATGTCTTGTTGTCATTGCTTTGCAGTACGAAACTTGACAGCATGCCCGCTGAAAACGTATTGAGAAACCTTAGCAGCGACTAGCATATTCACATTAATTCACGCTACATCGCTGTTCATATATTAAAGCAAAGTTCTTTTAGTTTACGGCGATTTATCTTATTCTATCCGTTTTGAAACAAATATGCATCCTTTGGATTTTCATGCTACCTCAACAGTCAAGGGCACACAGGTTGTCACCATGCATATAATATAAGCACGTTTCCAAGCCCTTAACTCAATTCGATCCGCCAATATTAATTTCCGACGTATATGACGGGAAGATTAAATATTAAAGAACTTCGCGAGTATTTGCAGTAGACATACAAAAATACCACCAAAAAATTCCGCTTGATCGATACTATATATTCAGAAATATTCATATAATTTTATTGTTTCTCGCTCAATTTCAAGCGAATTTCTTACCTTGAAATGATCAATGCAGTGAAATTTATGCAAATGACACATCAATTTTGCTGTTGCATTTTGAATGTTCCGCCTGATTCAAATGCTCGTCTTTTTGCTTCTTTTCAACGTTTAATAATAACAAATATACCAAAAAAATCGCCATCTTCCATTCTATAGCTCGGAGTAGTCTCGGGAAATTGCGAAATAATCTAAGCCTATTATGGCAATTCTCGTGATCGGAAAGTGTTCGGCCAACTTCGGACGCCAAATTCTTGGTAAAGTATTGCAGTTTCTTGGTAAAAGACTGCAGGAATCACTTCCGGAGTGTTTGTTTACCCTAGATACGGCTTTTGATTGGCTTAGGCAGAAAAACAAATCTTTTAGAGCAATTTTCCTGATTATCGCGCACGGGAACGCACGAGCGTTGAAATGTATTGTGTTGTAGTGGGTAGGGATAAAGGGCGGATGCGGATACGGATGCGGATGGCGGATACGGATGCGGATGAGAAAATACGGATGAGAAAATGCGGATGGGGGATAAAACGCGGATGGGAAAATGCGGATGGGGGATAAAACGCGGATGGGAAAATGCGGATGGGGGATAAAACGCGGATGGGAAAATGCGGATGGGGGATAAAACGCGGATGGGAAAATAATAATAATAATAATAAATAATAATAATAAATTATAATTTAATAATTTCTATTATACTGACAATTATTTGCGAAATTAAAGAGGCAATGTCACCCATATTTGACTAAAAATGCATTTTATTTACAGTGTGAACTGTAATTCTGAAAATAAACATCGTAAATGGATTTATGTATGACATAAGAGTAATACGCTTTTTGTGTTTGTTATTGCTTTATTTTGTAATTACAGCCATTCTTTCTCAGTTTTGTACAAGTTTTGAGAGAGTCAGAATTCCTCAAAAATCGGTGACATTGCCCCTTTAAGTCGGTTGTAATAACAATTTAAGGATTTTTCAAGTACTAGTAGTGCAGTATCAATTCAACTAGGATTGCCACTTCTTTTGTATGAATTCTACCTACAATTATTTCCAAACCCCAAATATATTCAAGCGCTTTTATGCGCCAAATGTCGATCAAATAATTCTCACCAGACCTATAAATTTACCACATCTCAGGACTTACGCATGCAACAATAATAGGCATATGGTAAAACGCGGACTGGACTGGACTGGTAAAACGCGGACTGGACTCAGATTAGTAAAACGCGGACTGGACTCAGATTAGTAAAACGCGGACTGGACTCAGATTAGTAAAACGCGGACTGGACTCAGATTAGTAAAACGCGGACTGGACTCAGATTAGTAAAACCATAGAGGTAAAACGCGGACTGGACTCACTGATCTATTAATAGTAGACTGGATATAACTTCTGTGACACAAATTACTATAGAAATGTGAACAGTATGGCGAACAACGTGAACTAAGGTGAATTTTGCCAAATGTGAGATACTTTGCGAAGTTTTACCAAGTTGGTCGCTCCACAGTGGATAAAAGATGTTATGTTAATGCTGTTAAAACGAAAATTATCCAGATTGCCTTAAAATATCGTCAGTTTGGTTCGTTCAAAGTTGCCATGCGGGAATAATATTTTATCGCCACAGTGGCATGACAACACGATAATTTCTAGTTTACTCAAGCATACTGTTAAGGTAAAGTAAGTAGTTCGTTTTATCAATTATGTTTAACCTTGATCAACCAGAGGGTTTCAAACTTTCAATTATCCATCTTTAATACTAAGCCTTTTTACAAAATATATATACATGTCTTTGTTGTTACTAAATATATTTGTACTTTTTAAATTTGTCATTTTGTTAAACTGGAAGGCAACCTTAATAAAGCTTTCTGTAGAGTGAATCCACTTTTATATTGCATTTGAATTTTGAACTTTCAGTTGTAGAGTGTAATCAGTGACAGTGTATATTGTTTTAGTGCAGTGACTCCAAAGGCATGCAGAGTGTAAAGTTCATTATTAATTTTGATCATTCATTTATATCTAAACATTTGTTATTGTAAAATATCTGTAGGTGCTTTTCCACCAAATTCCCAGCATATATATGTGCTTGTTGGTTTATATATGCCCCAGGGGTATTCAAAAAAGAAACACTGGTTGCAACAATGTTGTGTTTTGCAGGGCCAGATTAATTAACATTTCGCGGGGCCTGTCCACCTGTGGCATTTTATCAGTGCGGGGACCCAAGACAGCGCCCCCCCTGCATTTTAAACACTGAATTCAGAAAGATTCAAAAACATAAACATATCCTTTTGTATTGTACGTGTTGAGAAGTTGCTTGAAATTTGTGTATTTACAAAAAAAGGAAGTATACATCAATAATTTGTACTAAAATTAAGTGACACAATGGGTATCAACAATAATATCATATGACAAGTAATACCTAAAAGTGTATACCTGCTGTGCAGTGTGCATTATGTTTGGTTGGGCCCTGCACTGAAATAGGGAAAACCGTGGGGCATGTGGCATATGCCGCTTCTGCCATATGGTTAATCTGGCACTGGTGTTTTGTCACCTGCATGGGGTTTCTTGACATAGTTGTTGAAACAGCACAACTGGAAACAACTGGCCATGGTAACCATGCTTTTGAAGCATAGATAATATATATAGATAGTATTAGAGATAATTTCATAAATAGCATGAAGTATATTTGTCTTCTAATGTCAGAATATGATCACACTGCCTATAGTTGCCTGACAATTTTACTTTTGTATCAATGAGTCGAGTCCATCAGTGGTTGAGGTTAAAGCAGGTTATTATTTCAAATTAACTTTGAATGATATCTTTTATATTTGTTCATATATTTCAATATTGAATAATAAATACACAGCACATTTTAAATCAATTTTGTAAGTTTTTCTAATTCAAAACTCAACTGCATTATACTGCATTGTAAAAGTGGATTCACTCTACAGAAAGTTTTATTATAAAGGTTGCCTTCCAGTTTAACAAAATAATAAATTAAAAAAGTACAAATATATTTAGTAACAACAAAGACATGTATATATATATTTTGTCGAGGGGTAAATTACTCTGAAAAAAGCGTACGAGGATTTTTGGGATTAGAAAATCCCGGCAATTTTTCTCGGGATTCTGGGATTTTTTTCTCGGGATTCTGGGATTTTTTTGGGATTTTTTTTCAGCTGATTTTTTCGAAATATTTTCGCTTATTTTTTTCGCCGAACTTTTTCCGACATTTTTTGCGACATATAATCCGTCGAATTATTTTTAAAACGAAGTAAATCAACAAAGGACATTCTCACGCCAATTCACGATTTAAATGTTTAAATGGGATTTCTCAATATTGCAATAGTTTTGAGGATTTTATTGGGCTTTTTCCAAGTATTTTATGCAATTTTTAGAGATTTCTTGGGATTTTGGGATTCTGGGATTTAGTAAGATTTTGGGATTTTTCCAAAGATTTTTTGGGATTTTTGATGAAGTGTACGAAGATTTTCAGAGTAATTTACCCCTCGTATTTTGTAAAAAGGCTTAGTATTAAAGATGGATAATTGAAAGTTTGAAACCCTCTGGTTGATCAAGGTTAAACATAATTGATAAAACGAACTACTTACTTTACCTTAACAGTATGCTTGAGTAAACTAGAAATTATCGTGTTGTCATGCCACTGTGGCGATAAAATATTATTCCCGCATGGCAACTTTGAACGAACCAAACTGACGATATTTTAAGGCAATCTGGATAATTTTCGTTTTAACAGCATTAACATAACATCTTTTATCCACTGTGGAGCGACCAACTTGGTAAAACTTCGCAAAGTATCTCACATTTGGCAAAATTCACCTTAGTTCACGTTGTTCGCCATACTGTTCACATTTCTATAGTAATTTGTGTCACAGAAGTTATATCCAGTCTACTATTAATAGATCAGTGAGTCCAGTCCGCGTTTTACCTCTATGGTTTTACTAATCTGAGTCCAGTCCGCGTTTTACTAATCTGAGTCCAGTCCGCGTTTTACTAATCTGAGTCCAGTCCGCGTTTTACTAATCTGAGTCCAGTCCGCGTTTTACTAATCTGAGTCCAGTCCGCGTTTTACTAATCTGAGTCCAGTCCGCGTTTTACTAATCTGAGTCCAGTCCGCGTTTTACCAGTCCAGTCCAGTCCGCGTTTTACCATATGCCTATTATTGTTGCATGCGTAAGTCCTGAGATGTGGTAAATTTATAGGTCTGGTGAGAATTATTTGATCGACATTTGGCGCATAAAAGCGCTTGAATATATTTGGGGTTTGGAAATAATTGTAGGTAGAATTCATACAAAAGAAGTGGCAATCCTAGTTGAATTGATACTGCACTACTAGTACTTGAAAAAATCCTTAAATTGTTATTACAACCGACTTAAAGGGGCAATGTCACCGATTTTTGAGGAATTCTGACTCTCTCAAAACTTGTACAAAACTGAGAAAGAATGGCTGTAATTACAAAATAAAGCAATAACAAACACAAAAAGCGTATTACTCTTATGTCATACATAAATCCATTTACGATGTTTATTTTCAGAATTACAGTTCACACTGTAAATAAAATGCATTTTTAGTCAAATATGGGTGACATTGCCTCTTTAATTTCGCAAATAATTGTCAGTATAATAGAAATTATTAAATTATAATTTATTATTATTATTTATTATTATTATTATTATTATTTTCCCATCCGCGTTTTATCCCCCATCCGCGTTTTATCCCCCATCCGCATTTTCCCATCCGCGTTTTATCCCCCATCCGCATTTTCCCATCCGCGTTTTATCCATCATCCGCATTTTCCCATCCGCGTTTTATCCCCCATCCGCATTTTCTCATCCGTATTTTCTCATCCGCATCCGTATCCGCCATCCGCATCCGTATCCGCATCCGCCCTTTATCCCTACCCGTCTATTTTCAGCTTTTCGCATGTGTTGAATAATGTCACTTTAGATTTCAATAGTTCTACAATTAAGCAGTGTTTAATTTAAAACAGTTTTGACAAGCTTTGAACAGTTCTGTTTACAGAATACTACAGATTGATTCTCGTAAGATCTGGTAGAGTTATCGTTGCACTGAACAAGAGTTTACACCGTTGACAACGGCGTTGTGCTAGACAGCAAACAAAGACAAGGCCCGTGACGGTACACGTTGGCTACATGTACCTCCTTGCTTTTTTTTTCTATTGCATAAAGCTTGTTGGCGAGCCAAGCGATTGGCGATAACACGTTGGTGATAACGCATTGGCTATCTCCTCGTCTTTCTTATTTAATTAAGGAGCTCTGACTCGCAAGTTATTTTCTTCGTAAACGCCGTGCAAACGTTTACCCGCTTCCGTTTAATATAAATAGCTGTTTCGCTCTTTGTACTGTAGCCATCTATTCTGTGATGTAGCACCTTATACAGTCAATGACAGTGTATAATGAATACACGTTCTAAATAATATCGATGGGCACTTAATTATGCTTGTTAAAAAGGGACAAAACATCAAGATCCACATATATATATTAAGATCCATATATGTATGTCAAAATTTGATATATATGTATTAAGATTCATATATATGTAACAAAAACCGTATATGTATGTCAAGATTGATATATATATATGTCAAGATTCATATATATATATGTCAAGATTCATATATATATGTCAAGATTCATATATGTATGTCAAGATTCATATATATATATCTAAAACTCATTAATAATTCATGAGCAAATTAGCGAATGAACTCACCCTAATTCGTCACATGATTGAGGTTGGATACCGCAAGGAAACACGCTAAAAATCATATACCATCACTGTTGTTAGATGAAAAACGGTTTTCATCTAATAACTGAGAGCCTAATTACAAATTCAAGTCAAAACACAACAATATACTATAATAATTACTGACGGTCATAATAACCTATTGTTTTCTCTCTGCATTATATCAGCGAATGTCGAGAAGCTAAAATAGCACCCAGCATTATTAAAAATAATGCAGCGTGCACACAGCATTATTAAAAATAATGCAGCGTGCACACAGCATTATTAAAAATAAAGCAGCGTGTATCAGTGCACACAGACATTATTCGCAATCCTTCGTCATCCTGACAAGTACACGCGATAACGTGAACATCTCAAGATGAGAAGTTGACAGTGCTAAAGGCCCCTCATACAATATCATCGGGCGCCTGAAGCACTGCCAAAACGGTCGCTGTGAGTTCTTTCAGCTCAACTTTATAGAGAAATAGTTTCGTTTGCGCTTGTGGGATTTTATCCTAGATATACGCATGTGCAGAACACACCATAACTTCTATTCCCGTGTTTATCCAGTTTAATAATGTTTTCGTTCTAGATGTTATGTAAACAACTCGTTTCTCGTGTTTCATCAGGGGACCAAACACTCGAAAACAATAAAACACTCGCGCTTCGCGCTCGTGTTTCATACAGTTTTCTCGTGTTTGGATCCCCTGATGAAACACGAGAAACGAGTTGTTTACATATAACGTCAAGATTCATATATGTATGTCAAGATTCATATATATATATATATATATATATATGTCAAGATCCATATATCAAGATTCATGTATGCTTTAATGAAGTACTTCTTGACCGTTTAATTATACCGCTGACCAAATATTTATGTAAACATTTAAAATAATATAGCGATTAAAGATGGCGCATTTCATAGATAATCTTAGACAGTTCTTTGAAGAGTTTTTAAGATGTATTGGGGAAGCAATTGCGGGGATGAGTTCAGAATACGAACCAAATCGTGTGGACAGCCTGTTATACAGGCTATCGGAATTTGAAACCACACTTGGATTAATTTCAAGTCGTGTTGGAGAATATGACACTGATGACAGCGTTGATCAGTTGTTGGAAGACCTGGAACGGCTCTTAGCCACTGTGCGTCTTCTAAAAACCAGATATCAAGATAGGCATGTTGAATCGAACACCTCTTCCGATATCGAATCGCCACACCGCAGTTGTCCTGTTCATTATTTAGGGCACGCTTGTCGTCCACGGCTTGTTGTTGACAAAGTTGTTGTTCAGCAACTGCGTGAAGAATCCATGAAATGGGTAGACATTGCAAGAATTCTTGGAATTTCCCCCAAGACTTTGATTCGTCGACGCAGGGAATTTGAAATGCCCATTGGTGCTGATGCCTTCACATGTCTTGAAGATGGTAATTTAGACGGACATGTACGAGAAATTTTGCGAATAAATCCTGAAGCAGGTACCGTATATTTTAATATGTGTAACACAACCCCAGGGACGCCGGAAAGGGAGGGCGCATCGCCCCCCTCCCCCCCCCCTTGTCCTTTAGTAAGGGGGGCAGGGCGAAAGTGCCCTTAGATAAAAATTCTAACGAAAAAAATACGAGGTACAACGATTAAAAAGTATGAATTACGGGTGAAATGGACGTCATATTGATATATACGTGAAATTTTCTGGAATATTGTGTCAAAAATTAGGTTAACTTTTAAAACTTTTTTGCCCTTGTTTTTTCCGGAATATTTTTTGCCCTAGTTTTGGTGAATTAAATTTTTATTTAAAAATTTTTTCGTAAACGAAATATTAGTTTGTGATTGGCCTTACGTCAACATTGCGCCCCTGTGCCCTACCCTCGCTCCGGTGTCCCTGCATAATCCTATATAAAGTAGCATGAAATTAACATCCCTGTCTAATAACGCTCGATTTGCATGCTTCTCTCTAAAAGTACGAAAACGTAATACCGAGATGATTATTAGATAATTTACAATATGACGGAACTTGTCAATATAGGTCACTCGATCGCTTGTGCTTTTCCTAGGACTTCGTCTAGTTGAAGGAGGGCTCAGAGCAAAGAAATTAAAGATTCAACAGAATCGTGTTCGGGAATCTATTGCACGAGTTAATCCTGTTCTCTCAGCAGTGAGAGGACACAGCTTCAAGATTGTCAGGCGAAAGTATTCTGTACCTTGCCCAAACGCCCTCTGGCATATTGATGGCGATCATAAATTGATAGAACCGTACAGAATTGTCATTCATGGTGGGATTGACGGGTATTCCCGCCTTATCGTATATTAAGGGCTTCAACAAATAACAAGGCCAATACTGTTCTTGATCTTTTCCAAGAGGCTGTCAGCCTTTACAACCTACCGTCTCGTGTTCGTTCAGACCAAGGTTTGGAAAATGTCGAGGTAGCACGGTTGATGTTGCGTGAACGAGGCTTGAACAGAGGCAGCACAATAACTGGTAAGTCGGTTCACAACCAACGAATAGAACGTTTATGGAGAGAAGTTAATCGTACGGTGGTAAGCAAGTTTAAGAACATATTCATGTACCTAGAAACAAGTGGATTGTTTGATCCACTGAACGAAATTCATCTATTTTGTCTTCAATATGTGTACCTCCCGGAAGTTAATAACTCCCTAGAGGAACTGACTAGAGTCTGGAATTATCATGGCCTTACCACTGAAAGCAATACGACGCCAAGGCAGTTGTGGATAACGGGAATGCTGTGCAATAGTCAGAGCGGTTACGGGGCAGTTGAAGATGTACTTGATGGTGTTCAGCCAGATATGAATGACTATGGAATTGACGAGAGTGGTAACGTACCAGAACTTCAAACTTCCAACAATGTGGTTGTTCCAGAATCTCCTATCGAAAGTACGGAAGAAATTGATGCTGACTTGCAACGAATCCTCGAAACAACAACTGACGACGAGTACTGCATTCAAAAATACCTTTTAGTTCTTGATTACATGGAATATCAAAATCGCGAAAATGGACTTGGAAATGAGATTTAAAATCAGATCTGTACAGCATTCACTTCATTTTTTTGCCAGGTTTAATCGCTACCTGACAATCTTGAAGCTGTGTCCTCTCACTGCTGAGAACAGGATTAACTCGTGCAATAGATTCCCGAACACGATTCTGTTGAATCTTTAATTTCTTTGCTCTGAGCCCTCCTTCAACTAGACAAAGTCCTAGGAAAAGCACAAGCGATAGAGTGACCTATATTGACAAGTTCCGTCATATTGTAAATTATCTAATAATCATCTCGGTATTACGTTTTCGTACTTTTAGAGAGAAGCATGCAAATCGAGCGTTATTAGACAGGGATGTTAATTTCATGCTACTTTATATAGGATTATGCAGGGACACCGGAGCGAGGGTAGGGCACAGGGGGGCAATGTTGACGTAAGGCCAATCACAAACTAATATTTCGTTTACGAAATTTTTTTAAGTAATTTAATTCACCAAAACTAGGGCAAAAAATATTCCGGAAAAAACAAGGGCAAAAAAGTTTTAAAAGTTAACTTAATGATCCAAAGATTGAATCATTGAATATAAACTGTAATTAACACAATAAAAAACACACGTTTTGGTTTTGTGGGAGAAGGGGTGTTTTGGGGGGAAGTACTCTGTGTTTATGCCAAACGACATCCCTCCTCATCGTCACATACCTAATACTGTACTGAACTGATAATGCTAGTCAGGAGTAGCGACCCCCTGACGTATCGGACCAAGAGCACACTTGGACAGTCCCTAACCTGCCCACTTGGGCAGTCCCTAACCTGTCTAAGGTCCACAGAACCGCTTAGACAGTCCCTATTATTTGAAATATATATTTATATGTGACGTTACTAGAGTCTATGGGAAATGAAGTTGACATATTGGAATACTTCTTCCCCGGAACCCAATGTTTATTTATTTATTTATAACCATAACAATTTTTATTATTTACCATATTGTAAAACTTGTGTCCATAGGCACTTTTACACCTCTGATAGTCTTTCACTTTGGAAAGCTTTTATTACCAGCGAAGACCAGCCAGAACAATAACAATTTTTTATTTATTTACCATATTATAAAAACTTGTGTCCATAGGTGCTTTTACACCTCTTATAGTCTTTCATTTTGGAAAGCTTTACAGCAGGAAGCCATTGTTTCTTTATAATATGCTAATTATAATGAGATCCTTTTACCAACTACTATGTGGACAAGGTGTTGGAAGCAAATGCAGTAACCAAAGTGCAAGTAAGATGGGGTGGGTGGGTGGGATTTAAACTTTGTAACATGGAGCTCGAAGGTAAATCCTTCAAAAGCTTTGAGCAAATAATGCCAAAAAATTGCGCGTGATGCATAACTTATGCTCCTACTTGCTTTGCGATTGGCTATTGGTTTTAGTTGGGATACGTAAAAGCTTTTCATTGGCTAAAAGCGTTTCTTTCATTAATATTCACGTGAACACAGTGCTGCTTCAAGAAAATAACCTTTGACCCACCAACAATACACGGAAATGTCGACTTGCACCTTTGTCATGCATGTGTCAATGAGGATAAGGTTGCAAAACACTTGCTTTCAACATGTTGTCTCATTAACTGAATTTAAACATTTTAAATTGGCTTTAATGATCCAAAGATTGAATCATTGAATATAAACTGTAATTAACACAATAAAAAACACACGTTTTGGTTTTGTGGGAGAAGGGGTGTTTTGGGGGGAAGTACTCTGTGTTTATGCCAAACGACATCCCTCCTCATCGTCACATACCTAATACTGTACTGAACTGATAATGCTAGTCAGGAGTAGCGACCCCCTGACGTATCTGACCAAGAGCACACTTGGACAGTCCCTAACCTGCCCACTTGGGCAGTCCCTAACCTGTCTAAGGTCCACAGAACCGCTTAGACAGTCCCTATTATTTGAAATATATATTTATATGTGACGTTATTAGAGTCTATGGGAAATGAAGTTGACATATTGGAATACTTCTTCCCCAAAAACACACGATAGAGTGTTCCCCATAGACGAAAACGCCCTTCCCCCCTTTTTTTATTTTTTTTATTTTTTTTATTTTTTTTATTTTAAAAATTTATTTTTTTTAAATTAAATGATGCAGTCATGGTGGCAGATGCCTTTGACAGGGTAAAAGATGGAATACGAATGTATCGTTCATAGCAATCGGAAGACCATCGTCCTAGAGTTTTAATGAGCCACGCAGGCAAATTAGCTGAATCTGCAGTTGTAGCGGCCCCAATTCGGTAGCTATGACCAGCATAGTGTGACGCATTAAAACCTGCTTGGTTTTTATAAAAACCGAGTCTCAGCCGTTAAAGTTTGTTTGGTAAGAGGTTTTCCAGAAACATGAACAAAGAGTGGACCACCCGTTGTTTTTCTAACCAAGAGGTACTTCTTCATTGCCAAAACAGGACATAGGGGCGAGTTGGACGCGCCAACTGTGATTGTTTGACCCATACGGAATGGGTCTGTTTTGGAGACTTTGATTTCCACTATCATGAATTCGGGTCTCGAATTATGTGACTTTAATCTCAGAAAAATAGCTTGTTCAATATTTAAAAATAGCAGGATCAAAATGCAATTTAGGTGTTTATAACCACGGTGTTGTGATTGAACATGCAATCATGCATGCATGAGAGTAGCAGAAATTGTAAGAATATGTATTTGGTAGACTAAAAAGATCATGCAGTATAGTGACAAGACATTAATGAATTTTCATGAGTAGCGACATACTATACACTGTACGTACCAATCTTTCATGACATCCAACTTGCCGATTTATCGCAAATGTAGATAAAGTAGATCCTAAATTTCTCTCACACATGAACTTGATTTCCTATGTTTTCTCCAGTAAGGTATAGATAATGTATACGGGCCAAATTAGTGTTTGTTTTATTAATTAAAGAGTGCCCTGATATAGCTAGAAAGGAAGTTTTATAATCTACTTTTGAATAATTGAATACAGTTTAATGTTACGCTTTATTGAAACCCAATCCCCGAATCCGAGGCCCAATCTGGCCGGTTAAAAAACTCAAGATGGTAATAAAATTGACATTGAAATACAGATCGATTTAGCGTGAATAGTCGATACATTTGGCGTTCGACAATTACTATACCCGAATTCTGTGATAAAAATAAAATAGATGAAGTTAAAGCATTTTGGTTGTTTTGAAAAGCGAAATACGAAGCAAACGTGAGAATTAACCGCATATTTACACACCAAATGCATGTGCATACATAAATACATTGATATACGAATTCGAATGATATCAAATGACGCTTGTTGAATTCGTGTTTAGCCTCTCGATCTTGTTATAATTCCCCCAGCGGCGGTTTCATTTAACTTCATCGGTTGAGCCAACGTATTCCTTTGTCCACCAGAAGGGTATAAACGCGCTTGACCACGGTAGAGTTATACTTGAATAGAGTGCGTCTCGCTGAATCACACATCGATACTTGAGCCAACGTGTTCCTTTATCCACCAGAAGAGTAAAAGCGCTTGCCCGCAGCAGAGTTATATTTGAATAAACATCGTCTCACTGAATCACACATCAATACTTGAGCCAACGTTAGTATTCCTTTGTCCACCAGAAGAGTAAAAGCGGTTGCCCGCGGCAGAGTTATATTTTACTGATAAACTGCGTCTCACTGAATTATACATCAATACTTGAGCCAACGTATTCTTTCGTCCACCAGAAGAGTAAAAGCGCTTGCCCGCGGCAGAGCTATATTTGAACAAACTGCGTCTCACTGAATGATACTGTGTTACTGACCGTTGTTTTATATCCACGAAATATCTTCTCCAAAATTTAAACTTTGTAACATGGAGCTCGAAGGTAAATCCTTCAAAAGCTTTGAGCAAATAATGCCAAAAAATTGCGCGTGATGCATAACTTATGCTCCTACTTGCTTTGCGATTGGCTATTGGTTTTAGTTGGGATACGTAAAAGCTTTTCATTGGCTAAAAGCGTTTCTTTCATTAATATTCACGTGAACACAGTGCTGCTTCAAGAAAATAACCTTTGACCCACCAACAATACACGGAAATGTCGACTTGCACCTTTGTCATGCATGTGTCAATGAGGATAAGCTTGCAAAACACTTGCTTTCAACATGTTGTCTCATTAACTGAATTTAAACATTTTAAATTGGCTCTAATTTTTGACACAATATTCCAGAAAATTTCACGTATATATCAATATGACGTCCATTTCACCCGTAATTCATACTTTTTAATCGTTGTACCTCATATTTTTTGGGTTAGAATTTTTTATCTAAGGGCACTTTCGCCCTGCCCCCCTTACTAAAGGACAAGGGGGGGGGGAGGGGGGCGATGCGCCCTCCCTTTCCGGCGTCCCTGGGGTTGTGTTACACATATTAAAATATACGGTACCTGCTTCAGGATTTATTCGCAAAATTTCTCGTACATGTCCGTCTAAATTACCATCTTCAAGACATGTGAAGGCATCAGCACCAATGGGCATTTCAAATTCCCTGCGTCGACGAATCAAAGTCTTGGGGGTAATTCCAAGAATTCTTGCAATGTGCCATTGCATTTTTTATCTGCACCCCCCCTATTGAGGACATGTGGAATTTCCAATGGCCCCCTGCAAAAGTGAACCAAAAATGAAGGAATTTCCATGGGAGGGTCCAAATTTTAAAGCAAATCTGCGGAAATTCCAAAGGGTAGGTAAGAAAAATGAGTAAAACGTATGGAATTTCCATGGGAGGGTCAACAATGGAAAAGAAATTCCAAAGGATAGGATCAAAATCAGCAAGGAATTTTCCAAGGGATAGTTACTAATCAAAGAATCAATATGGAATTTCCACTGGCTAGATAAAAAACTGTCAAGGAATTTCCATGGGATGGGTTAAAAGTTCATAAAAAAATTGCGGAAATTCCATGGGGATGTGGCTAAAATTCAATAAAAATCTGCGGAAATTCCACGGGGGAGGCAAAAAATTCGCTTAAAAAATGTGGAAATTCCAGGGGAGGGGGGTCCAAAAAATGGATGTCCTCAATAGGGGGGGTTTGGTTTAAAAATGCAATGGCCCAATGTCTACCCATTTCATGGATTCTTCACGCAGTTGCTGAACAACAACTTTGTCAACAACAAGCCGTGGACGACAAAGCGTGCCCTAAATAATGAACAGGACAACTGCGGTGTGGCGATTCGATATCGGAAGAGGTGTTCGATTCAACATGCCTATCTTGATATCTGGTTTTTAGAAGACGCACAGTGGCTAAGAGCCGTTCCAGGTCTTCCAACAACGAACTTCCAACGCGAACTTACGACGCGGACGTCGCATTAAACAAGTTTTATTTTAAAACGATGGCAAATACCATTAAAATATTTGTATCACAGCAAATAAAATGAAATTATACTGGAAAAAATGTACAACATAACAGAGGCTAGCAATATATTAAGAAGATATTTTTTATCATAAGTTTTTACGACTTCTATGACGACGAATCTTTGCAAATATCACGTCGTCTCGGATGGTAGTTTTGGCGGGAAAATGTGCATTCGTAACAAGTAAGAGTTAATTACCGAGAACGAGGTTTCTTAGCGAGATACAACCCGAGGGGCGTGTCCCGAAGAAAGCATCCCGAGGGCCGTAGGCCCGAGGGATGCTTTCTGAGGGCAACGCTCCCGAGGGATGTATCTCGCTAAGAAACCGACGTTCGAGGTAATTAACTGACTTAGTTCAAATTTGTAAGGATTGAAAAACAATTAAATCTACTTTTTTGTCGAAAATACTTGCATTGAATTAAGAGAATAACGATTGTTACCCTGGGGTCCATATGAAAATGAGATTGAAACGTGAACTACCTATGTAGCGACGAAAAAAATGCTTCCAGGCAACCGGAATCAGATGAAAATGTAGGCTTATGGAAAGAGAATTTTTGCAAGCAAATGACGAACCATTGGGATTTGCAGTGCTCAAACTAGACAGAGATAAACAAAGAGTCTTGAAAAACGCGTATTGAGCGTATACCGAATATACTGTAGGCACAAGACACAACACCATCTGGGCAGTTCGATCGTATTTGAAAAGAGTGGGCCGAAGGTAGAAGCGCTATAACGAACAATATGTGTATGGGTTTGTCGAAGCAAAGATTCTAAATTTGTTTTCAATAGGGTTTTATTTGGGTAAGAATCTAAAAGCAAGTGGAGGGAATTTCACATCTCTATAGGGAAAAGGGGGGTTGATGAATAGAATTCAGTTGAATTGATGATTAAATATTCACCAGGTTTTATCTAAGTATATAAAACCTGATTTTTGCGGGGTTTATATATATATAACCCGCAAAAATCCGGGTTTTATATAGATAAAACCCGGTGTATATTTAATCGTCAATCCAATTCAATTCTATTTATCAACCCCGCTTTTCCCTGGGGAGATATCAAATCCCTCCCCTTGCTTTCAGATTCTTACCCAAATAAAACCCTATTGAGAACAATAGAAATCCGCACAAATTTGAACTAATAGTCTATAAAGCCTGGTTTCTATCATTTCGTATGGCTGTTAACGTGTCATCACAGTGTCGCAAATCTCAAAGAAATAAACTCTGACTAGGCTTACACTCTAAAACTAGGCTTAGGTAAGCACGTCCGCGTCACAAATTCGCGTTGTAGATCTTAAGCTCCCTATTCTCCAACACGACTTGAAATTAATCCAAGTGTGGTTTCAAATTCCGATAGCCTGTATAACAGGCTGTCCACACGATTTGGTTCGTATTCTGAACTCATCCCCGCAATTGCTTCCCCAATACATCTTAAAAACTCTTCAAAGAACTGTCTAAGATTATCTATGAAATGCGCCATCTTTAATCGCTATATTATTGTTTACATAAATATTTGGTCAGCGGTATAATTAAACGGTCAAGAAGTACTTCATTAAAGCATACATGAATCTTGATATATGAATCTTGACATATATATGAATCTTGACATACATATATGAATCTTGACATATATATGAATCTTGACATACATATATGAATCTTGACATATATATGAATCTTGACATACATATATGAATCTTGACATATATATGAATCTTGACATACATATATGAATCTTGACATATATATATGAATCTTGACATATATATATGAATCTTGACATATATATATGAATCTTGACATACATATACGGTTTTTGATACATATATATGAATCTTAATACATATATATCAAATTTTGACATACATATATGGATCTTAATATATATATATGGATCTTGATGTTTTGTCCCTTTTTAACAAGCATACTTAATTGAATACCGGTAATGCACAACATAATACTACATAATAGTATTATTGCGTAGAATCTCAAAGGACAAAGATTTTCTCAATATTCATGTCTGAAATGTTCATATACTTGAAAACAACACTGTCTCGCTTCTGCCTACGTATACTGTACCTCTGTATAACGAGTATGCCGTGAAAATAATATCGGCACTCAATTGAATGCCTAGAATCTCAAAGATTTTCTCAATATTTACGTCTGAAATGTTTATACATTTGAAAACAACATTGTCACGTCGCTCCTTCCTAGCTCTGTATATTAATGAATATACCGTCCACATATATCAGTACTTGATTGAAAGACCGTCATGCATAACATAAATTTATATATTGCGTAGATTCTCAAAGATTTACTCAATATTCACGTCTGAAATGTTTAAATTAATACATTTGAAAACAACACTGTCGCTCCTTCCCAGGGCTTCCACAATGGATTTGCCAAATTTCCTGTTAAGATGATGAAAAATCCTTTTTTCTGAAAAAATTTCCCTGCCAAAATCACCTAATTTCCTTGCAAATTCCTTGCAAATATCCTAAAAAATAACCGATTTTCTGTACTCTATTACACGAGTAAAGACCACATGGCTTTAGGAGTGCCCATTTTGCCCATTTTCGCACTTGTTGCGCGATCAAAGGAGTTTTCCGACTTCTTCTTCTTAAAGTCTGGTTAAGCGGAAAGAGCGATCGAATAAATTTCACTAAATCATCTGCGAGAGAAAGTGGCAGGTTGTGCTCTGCAATGAATGCACACAGTTTAATTTCCATCGAACTCGTTTCATCTTGGTTTGTGGCCCTGTTAAACAGACTGGTAATAGTCGAACAGCTGGCAGTACTATACTTGTTGCATATTTGGTCTGGTGAGACTTGCTGACTAAGTGACGTTTTAAACCTGTTTTCGTGCAAGTCATGAATCTATTGCATGTCTTGCAAAATGGTTGTGGCTTTCTGTCAGTTCCAAGTCGCTTGGCAAGCCAGCCGCTAAATTGTTGTTCTGTCAACCAGCTATCCACAAAAGATTGAGTTTGTTTTGGTCGCTTTCGTTTTTTAGGAGATGGACTAGCCTGCGAACAGGCTCACTGGGAGAAAGGTGAGCGCCGCCCGTAACCCAGGGCCTGTTCGCAGGCTAATGGACAAGACGTCGACGTGACCGTACTGGTTAAGTAGCACTTTCTTGATTTTCACTGGTTTCACTTTCAGATTCGCTTTCTGACGAGGAATAATCATCCACGTTCATGCCAACAATTTTATATTTGCATCACAATTCACAAATAATAATTATTGCAAATATATTTCAACTTTCAATTCAATTTTATTTCTGATATAAACAATTTTCAAGATTTCCTCGCAATTTCCTTGTCCAGGCTCAAATTTCCTTGCCATTTCCTGGTAAATTTGATTTCCTTGCCCTTTTCCTTGCACAGGCCAAAATTTCCTTTTGCAGGGAAATTTCCCTGCAAGTGGAAGCCCTGCTCCTTCCTAGCATCGTGATCTACGGCTTCATAGCGCATGCGCATTTGCCCTGCTATAGAAAAAATCGGGTGTTCCGGGGGAAAAGATCCTTTACACAACATGAGAAGCGAATGTTCTGAAATTACAAAAATTTACAATAACGACAACGATTCCTCGAAATTTTTGTGAACTTGGCAATCACTGCGAACATAAATCGTATACACCCCCCGGAAAGTTTACTCTATGACTGACTGATTGTCTGACTGACTGATTCGTGTGAATTCGCCAGCCTGATCAACAGTGTGAAGTGAAACTTCACACTAAAAATGTTTACCTTTTCGAAAGTTTTCGATGCGATCACCAACATTTTTATGTCAAACCTCGCGGCTGCAATCCACTTGACCATCTGAAGTATTTCCGGGAAAATCCCATAGTCAGGGCAAAATTTCCAATCAATTTGCTGGCAATGGTGTATTTTCAATCTTAAACTTTTACATTTTGCAGTCTCAGACATATAATTATATAAAGAAGTTTATTTGACACTGCCACTGAAATATAACTAATACAAATAAAGCAATTTATTGTGATAACGTTTTATCGCAATTATGACTTCGTGTAGTCAGGTAGGTTCTTAATTAACTAGGTTAACTTGCACAGAATTTAATTGTACTGTTGACGCCTCGCCCTCGGAACATGTGAACATTTTTTATTTACCCTAAACTACAGATATTTCGCAAATTACAGATTTCGCAAACTGCAGATTTCGCAAATTACAGATTTCGCAAATTACAGATTTCGCAAACTGCAGATTTCGCAAACTGCAGATTTCGTTTCGTTTCGTAAACTACAGTTTCGTAAACTACAGTAAGCCGTTTCTAGAAAGGATGAAAACTCCGTTTTATACATGGTATGTAAAAGGTAATCGTTGTTTACTGTTTATTTTGTATTCAGGTATGGGGAATTTAAGCGATAAGAGTTGCAAAACTTGCAAATGTAGTCTGACTAGTTTCTTTGACATCATCATGCAACTATTGTGCTACATTCATTATTCAATTTATTCGCAGCAATTAGCCTTCTATAAGCCATACAAACGATTATAGCTTATAGCCCACCTTGCCTTTAACATTGATCCTATATATAATGAATTAACATAGCTAACTTTTGATTATGTTGCTAGTCAAGTTTGGGACCCATGGGTCTTCTAGATCCTAGAGTAGCACAATTAATATAAATTCTCCGTAAGGCGGTAATATTGATTAAGACTGTTCTTATTTATGCATGATTTTTGACTATTAAGTGGCCAAAAATTGTGCCTACAGTAATCAACTTATTCCACTATCCAGGTTGCATTACTTTTGATTGCAAAACACCCGGGTTTATTATATATGGTCCCGAAATTTTTTTGGCGACGGGGGGGGGGGTCGGCAAAATAATTTTTCCGGAAAAAATTTTTTGGTACTAGTCGGGCAGAATCCCGAAAAGTCGGGCAATTTTCTTTCCGCCCCCCTAATTTTTTCCTTCCGGTACGCCGATGTATATGGATTTGCTAGCAAAATAGCAGCAATTGATGAACTTGGTGTTATACTAAGATTTACTGACTGTGTAAAACAACGAAAAGTATATATCAATCAGAGTCATTATCTTCATCAATTTCCGATGGGATCTCCAAAGAAAGTAGCTACATGTGCAGACAACATGAAACTTCAGACTGCAGAAAATTTCACAATCTGTTATCAAACTTATGTCACAGAAGTGGTAAAGGACATATGTGACAACTGAATGGTACCTTTTGTAAATTTTTTGGCCAGGGGTGGGTATTTATTTTTTAATTGATATTTGAGGTTGGGTAATCATTTTTTTTTACTTTTTAATGGTTGGGTCAGCAAAATTTTTGCTACGAAAAACATTTCTCTTCGGTGCCACCCCCCGCCATAAATAATGACCGGTCCCTAAAACAACAAATTTGAATGCAGAGATTTTAAGAGGCATGTCCGTGAGCCAGGTTTGGTACAAAATGCTTCCAGAGCAAAGACCGCTTACGGAACGATATGCTTCAAGAGCAAAGACCAAATCGTACTTAATTTAGTCCACTATTTCGTAACGGTAATTCAACTGAATAGAGTGCATTTCGGTGTAAATCGAATCAAACGCGTGATTAAAATCACAACTTTGATTTTAAACCAAAATTGCACGACAAGAAGTTCAATTTCCACTTAAATTCATGTTGAAATCTAAAACTTTTTGTTAGCTGGAAACACTATTCCTATATTACTATACTACAAAAGATGCCCCCCCCCCCCTCCCCACCGCTATTTCCCTCCATGGAGTAGCGTAGCAACAAGTGAACGAGGCAAATTAGAAGTAATTTCAATTTTTCATCGCAAAAATTGTGAAGATAAAGATAGTAATGGAGAATAGAAAGCAACACAAGTAAGTTTAATATTTTAAAGGTTTTACGAGTAATTTGATACAGGTTTAGTGCTGTTATCAAATTGCGGTTGTTAAATTCTATTCGAGATTTGCATTTATTTGAAACTCTATGTAAATGAGTTGCAGTGTGTGCTAGAATTTGCAGTAAATTTCCATGTGCACTAGAACTTGGATTTGTCTATACTAACCACAAGATATGAAACGAGTATGACGATGACGATAAAAACGTTGATTTTATGAATTTCTATTCTAACGAGATAAACAGAGACTATACCAACATGCATCAAAAATTGAGTATATAAAACAAAATGTTCAAATGCCTAAATTAAACCATTGATATAATTTCTCAATATTTTCAAACTTGTTCAGTTCCACCACAGTTAAAAGAATACATGGTTTGAAGACTCGATGAAAGTACAATATAACTCATTAACTATGTTGGTTTTAGTTTATGCAAGAATTTGGGCCTATCTCATCACATGTGTATTGTATTTTTCCCGCACAACCAATAGCAATGTTTAAATTGAGCATTTGTTCAAGTTACGGATGGATAACTCAACGACAAACTTGTTATTGGTTATTTGAGCGAAAATACAATACACACGTGACGAGATAGGACCAAATTCTTGCATAAAGCTGGACAATAACATAGTTAATGAGTTATACTGTATTGTAGCTACTTTCATCGAGTCTCCAACCATCTATTAAAATAACTGTGGTTCCACGACGCTTAGCAAGGAGGAGTTTTCATTATTAAGGAGTTTACGCATGTAAGAGGGCGACATCACGACGGCTAAACAAAGTATTTGCAACAAAAAGGGTAGGTAGGTAGGTACAACAGCGAAGGGTTGATTTGATATTCAAGCGGTATCTACTCTACATTTTACTATCGTTATCAAACGCTATCAGTAAGCAGGCTCCCCATGCATTAGTCGGAAATTCTATATGTATAGAATAGAATCGTTTCTTTAAACGGGGAAGTTATAAAACACTATATGGTAATAAAAATTAAATGTATAGGTAATTATTAATACCTTCTACTTTTGAAAAACTGAACATTTACAAGTTTTGAATGCTTTGACATTGTCGATAATTAATTAGAGAGTATATAGATGACATAATAAAAGCAATGTGTAAACATTACAACATTCATTAGTCAAACAAGGAAAAACGAAATTACCAATATTAAAATAAATTCTGGAAATTAATTTCACATATAGAGCGTTTGCACTCATTCCCCAGGGACCGACTCAACAAAAGCCATGGCGGAAATGTTGGAGTTCCGGACAAAGGCGGCTACTTAAAATTCTTTTGAAATGGAACATCAACATGGCGGCTGTGACGTCATGTGCAAACGCTCGATCTATACTATACAAACCAGAACTTAAAATTGCAAGCAATTCTGTGTTTTGTAAGGTCTGTTTATACCTTCTCTCACTAGATTTCTAATTATGTTTTATTCATTTAAAAACAGAACGAATAGCTATATCTATTTTACAATTTGTCAATTTTTGAATCTACATGTAACTCGGCAGTTTGATGTGCTGCAATACTTCTATATATGTAAACTATGTCTCTCTAGTTAAATTTATCCTGTCTTTAAGATTACAGGACACTTTTGTGGCTTTCTGCGGAGAATCACTTCTGCGCCATCGTCATATACATTTCTTTGAGGACTATATTATATTTCAGATTTTTTGGAATGATTGCTTATAATTCACCAAATATCAAAAATTAAAACAAAACCCGACATGTTTTTAAGCTGAGATTCTTAAAACTTTCTGCTGCGCAAATTTCAGAAAAATCCGTTTAAACCGACTGAAAAAATGTAGTCGAGAAAATCTAATTTATATATATTACAGCGATTTCGCGGATTTTTTCATTGCAACAACTGTTGACCAATGAGATTACAGAAAAAGAGATTTGTTATAACAATTAGTTACACTGATGTAAACAACAAATTCAAAGCATAAACCTTCGCCCATGCATTTGCATGTGAATATAGCAAACTCGGTCAAATGATAGAACTACTAACTAAAGAGCTTCAATCAGAACCGGAAAAAAATTTGTGTACCTCAACAATTCAAAGGTGCTTTGTAACCTTAAATTTATAAAAACTGTTCACAAAAACACCAAAATATAAAACCTTTAATCTTAAACTATAGGATTTATTCCATATTAATTGATCTTTCTAAATTCTTTCTCCCCGGACGACCTTTAGACTGACGGCTTTGACCTTTAGACTGTCCGGCTTTGAACGCTTCCTGATCCATGAAACCTTAGCTCTAACAAATACTATACTTCAAATCCTTAGAATCGAGGCTGACTAATCAGACAAATTCTACGATCATTACCTAAATCAACTTCAAGCAAGGAAGTCTTGACCATCAGGTACACTTTCATTATCAGAATGTTCAATAGTTTGTGAGAGAGGATCAAGAATAAAGGAAGATGTTTGCGATTCCTGAGATCCCAGTTCTTCTTCGTCCTCTTCCACAATTTCAGTATCTTTGAGTGTTTCAATATGAAGGTCTGATTTACCTTCGACGAAAAATTTAATGATGCGTTTCTGAAAACAATTGTAAAAATAAACATCTTAGAAATTATGACATATTTTTGCAGAGTAGTAAATCAAAACAAAAAAGAGAGTGCTATTCGCCGAACCCACGAGGGCTTATGAGCCGTAAAGAGCTTGCCACGAGGGCAAAAAAGTATGATACAATGCTCTAGGTACATTTACATGTAGGAATGTTCAAATGCATTATGTATCTATTCGCATTTCTATATGGAAAATTGATTCCTGCATGTTCATATTATAAGACGCCTTTCATGATGACGTCATAAAACTAAAAATTATTTTCTTCTTAAAGCACCAGAACCAAAGTACTTTTTGAGTAATGAAGTAACAATATGGCGTTTTCAGTCGAATATGGAAATTTTAATTTTCAACATCGCATCGTTTTGGAATAAACAGCAATTATGTGACTGGTCACGAGCGGTGTGTGGTTAAAACTAAACATTTCCATATTTTTAATTACAACACCATAATTGTATTTGTTTCCAGGTTATTACTCCATACGCGCTATAATTCTGATAGTTTTCGTGAAATGACGTCATCATGCAAAGGATCTATACCATTCAGTTTGCTAATAAGCAAAATATAATCTTCAACACTAGAAGATGAACTTTGTTTCATGGTATCACTGTATAATACTATGTATAAAATCGGATGTAGAGACGCATTACACACGAACCTGTGGTTCAATTATTTTCTTCCCTTGTAGCATATAATCAAACTTAGCAATTGTTCGTAACATAAGATCTTTGACCTACAACAGACAGAATACATTTGTTTAATCCATAAAGCACTAGGATTTTCAGATGTTTCTAGCACAACCCTTTAAACTTTGCTCGAACCATAAACATTCCACATAGCTACCTTCGTACGACTTATGAACATCGCTCTTGGATCTCTAATTTCACTATTAAGTGATCTGAGTTTCTTAGTAATTCTCTCTACGATAACCTGGAAAATAAGTCATCAATTAGCTCAATGTGACATGACTAAATACAGAATTTAATCAGGAAATGGGTAGTACTATATCTATTATCTCGATTGAAAAATAATTACTATAGGCTAGGAAACATAAATTTCGTCGACGAGCATGCAAATTCTTCAGTTGTGGTGATTAGTCTAATTTGTAGATTAAGGCATTAATCAAATGGCGTTTGGGAAGGGAAACATCCATATACTGTATGTTGAAGGGTTTTTGCAGATGGAAAACTCGAGTGAGCAGGAACATCTGCGAAAAATGTAGCCGTCAACCCCCGGCTGGAATCGAACTCGGCCCTGTGATTCAGGGTCTCTTGCCACTGAACTAGAATCCAGTTGCCAAGCATTAACCACAAGCTCAAGTTGGTATCTCACTCGATAGAACTGACTGTTATGGAAAGAAAATGGAGCCAGTCTGCATATACCTTTTCTCGGGGTTGCAAGTGTTCTGCACCCACAACTATATCCAGCAATTCGATCATTGTGTACAGTTGATAATAGTCCGTATCATCGTTCACATTTACTGCATGTAGCAATGTTTCTAACCTTCTGAACATCTAAAAATGAACAACAATAAATATTCAGATCTTATATCAGTTCCTGCATAATCCAAGATGGTGGATAACTCACTTTGGTTAAATTTGATCAAATAACAGTCAAGAGCATGCCAGTGTTGTAGTCAAGTCCACAACTTACGAGTCCAAGTCAAACTCCGAGTCCAATACATTCAAGTCCGAGTACGAGTCCAAGTCCCTTAGCAAAAATTCAAGTCCAAAATTTTCGATTCCGAGTCTTAAATATTTCGAGTCCAAGTCCAAAATGATAAAGTATAATCATATTTCCACAATCCATAGGCACTAATGCATTTTTGCAGAAGTCACGATGTAATCAAAGTAACATGCTGGTGGCAAACAGATCATATTCAATTTCAAGTTTAAAACATACAGTGCAAAGCAGTATAAGCCGCTACATTACATGCAGTGCATGCATGTGCCCGAATAAAATAAATGGAACACTTAATTTAAAGTACTGAATTCCGTAAATAGATATTTTTCTATACATCGATCGAAAAAGCATTGGTCAATAATTAAAAGGTCGTAAGATATAAATCATGTGATCTCCACTTCTCTCGCCTGGTCAATGAGTTACTACTAACACGTCACGTCGAATTTTGTCGCAAAACCAAATCACGTAGTGTTTCCATATTGGCAAATATATTTTTGTCGCGAAAAAGACCTTTGGAGACTAGTAAGCTTGAAGCGCGTACTGACAGGGCAATTTGTGCTAAACGTCCGTTTACACGGGCGATTTTTGCTGCGATTTTAGTTGCGATTTTCTCCTTTTGGAGAATGTGAAGGAGAAGATTACTTAATGATGTTGTTATGAGACTTCATAACCTGGAACATTTATAACTCATCCGCTCCTTCACATCCTCCAAAGGGAGAAGATCGCACCTAAAATCGCGGCAAAAATCGCCCGTGTAAACGGGACTTAACGAAGCAATGGGTATATCAACGAGAAAATTTAACTGGTGGACTCGTACAGGACTTGACCTAAATTCCCACGTCCAGAGGTGTCGTATGTTAGCAAAGTGCAAATGTAATTTACAAATAATGATGTAAGGAAAGATAGAAGGCTATAATTTCAGTTGTTAAAAGTTAAAACAAATCAATTCAATAAATTCTGTCGCGTAAGTGATTTATAACAAATAGGAAAATAAAAATTTACCTCTAAGGCGTTAGTTATCTCCTTATCTTGGTTTACATCAGGATCTGATTGTATAAAACTTCTAACATCAGTGACAGTGTTGTTCACAAAAAGTGAAGTTAGCGTTTGTAACGCTGCCAGCCTTTTCACATCACGTCCTCTGTTTGATGAAGGCTGTAGTTGAACAATACGAAGTGTATTGCGATGATGAGTTTCAATACGATAGGTAACAGATGAGATCTTTATTGCCTGTCATGAAGAAACCAGAGATTTACTAATAATAGGATGGTTTCCCCAACGATTTGGATAAAACAAGCATTATATTTTCATTGTCTTTAAATTAGCCATTCCGAAGTTGATGAGAAGACTGGAGACGAATGTTAAAAAGTGCCCAAATTAAGAAATGAACCAAATCACTAAAAAGACCACAACCTCAAAGTATACAAAGTTTGAAGACATTTACATAAATACCCTTCGAATAATAAGCTTTCGAAAATCGTGATATTTACTATGAAATGTACTGTAATTTCACAATTTTCGAAAGCTTATTATTCGAAGGGTATTCATGTAAACGTCTTCAAACTTTGTATACTTACTAATTTTGAGCTGGTCTTTTTAGTAATTTGGTCCATTTTTTTAATTTGGCCACTTTTTAACACTCGTGCCCAGTCCACTCATCAACTTCGGAATCGCTAAATGATTTGGCGCGCTCAATCAAGTTATTAGGGAACTTAAGCAAGCGAGGTTTTTGACAACACGGACGTCAGATTACCGAGGAGGGACTGAATTAAAAACTGTGCTTCTGTCAGTTTGTGGTAAACTTACGGATACACATATGACAAAGCATAAGATTTTTAAAAATTTTTTGCTTCCTTGCACGGGCGCTATGATGCAAAATTAGTTATATGCATACACAATAGGCAATTCCAGCTATTAGACTAAATTTTGATCTAGGCAGAAAAAACAAAATCCATCACAACTGCTAGAAAGAGCATGCCAAAATTAGTAAAATTGCAAAGTGTGGTTGGGATATGTTAAAAAATGCGGAAAATATAGCCCTACGAAATTTGCAAATTTTGTATTAATTTGTATTACGAGCGGGAAAATGCACCACATTTGGGCCGAAAGTGGTGCATTTTCCCGTGCGTTAAGGTCCAGACACACCGGACGCGATTCGACAACGCGACGCGTTTCTTTAGTTTTTGAAAGTTAATAAAACAGCCAATGAGAGCAAATTTTGAAAGATATGTATACCAAATAACTCAAAATGTTATAGCGTTTCTAAATATTGGGAAAATTTAAACTAGATAGATAGATGGAACAGGTTTAATCAAATCGTAAATTACAGTTGGTATAACTAAATTGCTTACGAGTATTTACAATTGAATTATTTCATGCAAAGAACCAACTATATTTACAATAAAAACTATAGGCTATAATTGACACGAAATAAAGTTAAGAATTTATACACTTATACTATTACATATAATGAAGGAGTTCTTAAAACGTTCTGCTCGAAACTTAGGGACTAGAAATTTATGACATTTCCTTAAGGGATATGTACACCCGTAGCTAGGATCAAAGTTATCGGATCAAAGCTAGGATCAGGAAGTTATCGGTCAGTGAAAATCGAAAAATCGGGTCGCGTTGTCGAATCGCGTCCAGTGTGTCTGGGCCTTAATACAAAATTTGAAAATTTCCTGGGGCTATACTTTCCGTATTTTACAACATTTCGCAACCAAACTTTGCAATTTTACTAATTTTGACATCTCTTATAGCTGTGGTGCATGATGGATTTTGTTCTTCTGATCATCTATGGTTTTTAAAATTCAAAGGGTTTAGTTTATATACCTTGGATATTGTTTACTATTTTGTAGGATTTTTCCACGAGCAAAGTCGACCCGATAGACATAACCATGTCAACATTCATTGGGAAAATATTAAACCAGGTAATTAAGCAAAATGTGCCATTTTGGACACACGTAAAAAGGCAAAAGTTATTCCAGGTCTGCAAACAATAAGTTATTTACAAATCTGTTCACAAGCTGTCGACAAGTTTTGTTCGCACTGCTTGTTCTTACAGTACATAGTTGTTGTAGCAAGTGTGGAACAAGCTGTTAACAACTTGTAAAAAGCTCGATGGCATTATCAGACTTGTTACAAGGTTGTTCTGAGAAGTCTGATACAGTCGTGATATAAAGAGAATGTTACAAGATCAAAATCAGGCCTAGATCAAAACTTAGTCTAAAGCTGGAATCATCCATTAGTTATACCAATTGTCCATTTGCGTAATAGACTAAATTTTGATCTCAACAAAAATTTCATCACAGCTTGAAAGAGCATCACAAAATTAGTAATATTCCAAAGCTTCGTTGCAAAATGTTGTAAAATGCGGAAAATATAGCCTTGCGAAATTTGCAATTTTCAGTCATTTTAGATTACAAACCGGAAATTGACAGCCTCGAAGGGTTTGGGGCTGTCAATTTCCCGTTTGTAATCTAAAATGACTGAAAATCGCAAATTTCGCAAGGCTATAGTTTCCGCATTTTACAACATTTTGCAACGAAACTTTGGAATATTACTAATTTTGTGATGCTCCTTCAAGCTGTGATGAAATTTTTGTCTGGACTTGTTTAGTTCAAAATTTAGTCTATTACGCAAATGGTCAATTGTCGGGTAGCGTCCGTGTTGACAAACACGTCGCTTGCTCAAGCTCACTATTGAGCACGCGGGAAGTTGGGAGAGCACGAAAATGAGCAATATAGTTTTCAGTGCTCTCCCAACTTCTCAAGTGCTCAATAACCCGATTGATTGATTGATTGAGCATGCCAAATCATGAAAAAGTTTTATTCATTCTTTCTAATGAAATTTCAATTTCAATTTCAAACGTTTCTGATTGGTGGCCAGAAAATCGCCGGATCGGAAATTGCTAGCTTGCTTCGGAAATGAAATGCTAGTGGGAGTTCAAAAGTTCCAAATAATCGAAATTTTATTGACGTTTTGATAATTTAAGGCTTTGCTTTTATTGGTAAAAAAGTGAAGGGTCAAAACCTCCACCGAGAAGGGAGGGGAGCACTTTGTCCCGGGCCCAAGCCGTACGGAAACGGCCATTGCTATTTCTGAACACAAGATTGCTTAACTGAGATTAGTATAATTACATAGGTGATTATTGAAAATTCTCCACGCTGATTGGTTGCCGTTGAGGTGATTATTACGCGATAATCACCTAAGCGATTTTCAAAATGGCGCCCGAAGCCTTTTTGTCAATTAAATGACGAAGAAATGTGTATTTTTTTCCAAATAATCACCTATGAAATTATACTAAAACAGTTATTCACCTCAGGCTCGGTGATTATTGTAAATAAAAACCTCGACTTCGTCTCGGTTTTTATTCACCTATAATCATCTCGCCTTCGGCGAATAATTGTTAAATATAAATCCTAGCTGCATGTGTTAGTGGCAGATAATATGTAAAACACCGCTTCCCCCTGGGAACATTTGGCTCAGCACCCCCACACAACCTCTCGGCGGTTCTGGTCAACAACTTTGATTTTTAGAAGGACACAAGTTGGGTTATTATGTAGGGCTTTGTGTCGTCTTAAAGATTAGTGTCACACCGGGAATTCGCGGGTTCAAACCCCTACTGGCGGCCATTTTTCGGGACGAATAGATTAGATGATCTGGAAAGTTTTTACAATCCATCATATATTTAAACCTTCCTTTTATAATCCTTGCTCTTTTTGTGTGATTTTTATCAGAAATGTAGCAAACAAGGTATTTTATCGCTATTTGTTGTATTTGAGTAAAATGTAAACAATAACAAAAGCCCGCAAAGCACGACCCTGACACTAAGCGCAGAGCATAAGATGAGTAGAACACATAATGAGGATAATGTTGGCCGCTCTACAATGGAAATTCTATATGCATGCTCTAGCAGTTTGATTATGAAACTACAAAGTACTAACCTCTTCGATCCAGTGACTCGGCTCTACTGCACTATACATAGCTTGAAGACATGTCTTAAGATCATGTTGGCATATCTCCAGACGTGTATCAAGAGAAATACAAAACAACAACAGTACTAAGTGTTCAAGATCTGTGGTGCTGTAGCTTTGTGGATATCGATCCAAGCAGAGCGTGAGAAACTGAATTAAGCGAGTAAAATTAACCAACGGGAAGAAGCTGCTCTCTTGTTCGTTACTATAAAATATACAAATAATTTAAATCTCAGTAGTAAATTATGTCTTTTGCACTTTTGAAAACCATTTTATAATGAGGGATCAGTTTTCACACATATTGTTGCAGGGTTAATGTTAACTTCACGACGAAGGGCCTTCACTGGAAACATCGAGAATTTCTCCTTGTATATTTTTCAGGTAGTTGCATTCCTACCAACCGAAGATTTGTTATTATCGACACTACCTCCACCGGCAGGCTGAGCATGATATCAAGAATTATTCAGACCGAGGCGGATAACATAGACCGAGGTCTGAATAATTCTTGATATCATGGGAAAGCCGAATCCAATAATTGTTTTATTATACATTTATTAAAGACATGAGAAACGTATAAAACGATTCCTGTTCATGAGGTAGGAAAAGTACAATTTGAATATCAAACACCTTGCACAAAATCAAAGGTCAGCTAAATATTCTAGTTCTACTTCTATTTACCCCTTTGTGGCTTTTTTCGTGCTTTCACTATCCTTATCTGCCAATAATTTGGAGAGTTCACTTTCATTCAGCGAAGCAAATCTGCTGTAGGCCATTGTTTGTTTGTTTTTTTCGCGCGCTTATAGGTTCAAGCTTTTGGCCGCGCAAGGGTTTGGGCACGAGAGAGTCCAATAATTTTTTTTTTGGATGCAAGTTCGATCCAAAAAAACAATTATTGGACGCTGATGACGTCATCGGCGGAAAATACGTAATAAATGCCGAATACTGAAAATTAGCCGATGCTTTCTGACCAATTAGAAACGAGAATACATATTAAATGTATAATAATATATATTGCGAACACTTCATCTAAAATGTTGACTTTATGTGATATCCACAGCGCCTGATCATCCGTTCAGCTCGATTTTGTAATTTTTGTAGTGCAAATACTAGAGCGGTCAGATTTGACTACCACCATAGACGGATTTTCATATTTTCTACTGGGGTGGTGCCAGAAATTTTAGGGGGGTGAGCCGTGAGCAGGTGACTGAAGCAACACAAAGTGTCACCAAACCCCAGTAAGGTCTATATTCTAGGGGTGGAGCACTAGAGCCGCGAGGGGGAGTCTAGAGAGCAGAAAACAAAGTATCCCAGGAAAAATTTGAAAAAAATCATGATTTCTAGCTTCAAAAAAAAAGTTTTTTGAAGTTGTCATATCAGTGGATTTGGCATGTCCGATTGTCTGTTCAGACGTGAGAGAGTTAAAGTTAAATGAACCTGTAAAAGTGTAAACCCAATAGGCCAATACACAATAATGCTTTTACTTTTATAAAGTCATTGACATTGTGTCGTTTGAATCCGAGTACAGTAGTAAAGATTAAATCTAGGCAAGTCTATTTCCTAAAAGAATTAAAAACTAAAAATAATGTTCGTAAAAATTCCAAACGTTCCTTGCAAGCAAGCTATTTGCATGACAAGGCACTGCAAGCTCTATTCAGGGGAGATAATAGAATTTCAAAACTTTACAATTGCTCCAATAAACCAGTGAATGCAAGCGAGGGGCGATTAGTTTCAGAGTATTGCACAGTCTTTTTCTATTTGAGTGTACTCCTACGTTTATTTTGTATCATCAACACTCTGCACGCTGTAGTCGACTATTTAATTATTTTTTTATTATGCCGAATATTGGG